TATATATATATATATATATACACACACACACACACACTAGCCCGGCCCCCCCGAACCCGTTAAGCCCGAACCCGGACGGGCCCAAAATAACCCAAAAATATCCAACCCGCCACCAGCCCGTTATCCCAGCCTGCTAACCAACCCGATCCGTTAACGGACGGGCTGTTTTTTTTTNCCCGATCCGTTAACGGACGGGCTGTTTTTTTTTTGTTCAGCCCGTCCCAGCCCGCCCGTTAAACACCTTTAGTCTGTACCAAAGGTGTTTGAAAAATTGCAGTAAGATATTTTCTGCTATAACCAGGGGTGGCTCAAGCATATGTGTAGCCTGAAGCCAAAGTTTAATGTGAGAACTAAATTTTTAAAAGAATGATATGATAGATTTTTTTTGAAGTCTATTTTCTAGCTTTTTGAGATCCAAGGTTGTTAATAAGTTTTTTATAATCGATTCCTCTGATAATTTCTTTTCAAGTGAGAGTATAGCAAATTTGTTTAGTCTTTCTTCAGACATTGTTGATCTTAGGTAATATTTTATCAATTGTAATTTTTTTTAGGCAATTTTTATAAAAAATTGTACTAAAAGTACTAAATATTTTTTTAAAAAACTTATAAACCTATTATTTCTGAAAAATAGGGCCTTTTAAATTAGGAAGAAAAGTCGTCAAACTGAGCGTCTGAGTAAAAGGACTCAGTCCCCGTGAACGGCCTAATGTCCGCCGCACTGTAGCCGATGCACACTATAATAAGTTCAAATGTTTTCCTTTCTCCATACCTCCTATCCTCTGAACGTGGGGATCTAAGGCACAAGCCTTTCTTCTAATAACCTTAGAGCCTACATCTACCAGTAAGATATTTTTAGTTGAAGCTGTATTATGGAAGTTAGACTATAAAATAATAGCAGTAGGAGAATATAATAAAGTGACCAAAGTGAAAAGTGAGCAATTTCAATAATGGTGCTTACAGAAATATCCTGTTGTAATCGTCAAAGATTAAAACAATGATTTGCTACATTGTTTTGAATAATACTGTAGATTATCACAGATTCACAATTACTTGAACTAGGTTTGGGTTCCCTAGGGAAGATATTAATTTTATCCTTGTCAGAGATTCAGAGTAAGCAATAAAAATAAAAAATGATCATATTGTATGTATTATAGCTGTATTCCTTCATCCAAATTCGAGTGACAGTTTGGCTTACCGAAAGTTAATTTAGTTGGAGTCAAATCAGACTAGATTAATTTAATGTTTAAATTATAATTTATACATTCAAAATTTACCAAAAGCACTATGAAGTGCATTTTTCCTTGTATCAAAATTGATGGTGAATATATCTTAAAATTTTCTTTGAAGTCCATTTATTTTGGATACCCGAAAGGGAAAGTGACACATTTTGGGACAAATAGGTTTAAATATTTATCTTGAATAGACATTGACTATTTTAGATCTGATTCTAAAATGGACCAAATAAGTAATTGAAACATAGAGATATTTACAGTCATAAAAACGCTAGAGATTAATACAAAAGAAAACGAGAAAGCAAAAATAAAATGCTAGCATATGCCATTCGATAGATTGAATCATAGTAATTAGTATTGAATATTAAGCAGAACTTAGAACAAACATGTCAGTGTTATTATATACCAAGAATAATAGTAATATCCCACACTTGCAAAAAGTGCAAAAAATTAAATGGTTACACTTAAACCTCTAAAGTGCAGAAGATAAATGCTTACAATATATTAGTACCTAGTTGATTTTTGGAAGTAAAGGGATTGCTTTTTCCGTCGGTAAGAGAAAGGAATAATTAGGTGGCGTTTCAAATTTTGAAAAATTTGTTTTAAAAAATATTTTTTTTACGAAAAAAAAATTCTGCTGAAAATTTTCTTCGAATTTAGCAGACGCCTTTTAAGAAGATGATGATGATTGGCGTACTGAACAAGCCACCACTTGTGCCCACTGTCTCAATCTCGTCTTCACCATCTCCGGATCCTCACCTGTAATTCATTAAAACAACACAAATTTAAGTTTTGAAAAAAAAAAACAATTTTCGGCTTGGGAAGAAACAAAGAAAATTCTAGAAGTTTCTATTTACCTGGATCAACAATAGAGCTTGAGCTTTCAACAAACGACACCGTATCAAAATCTGAAGCTACAGTAGACGACGAAGAAGATCTAGATAATGTATTACTGTACTGCTTGTTCACAGCTTGATATAGCCCCAAAGCAGGAAAAGTTTCGGTGAGTTTCGGATCCAAATCGGGCGAATCGAACCCGAAACCTAAGTCAAAGCAAGCACGAAGCTCTTCTAGGTCGTCGTCGGTGACGCTCTTCGATCGGCGACGGTCGGCGAGCTTCGTGCGGTAATTTCCTTTTCGCTTGAGCCAGGCTTCTTCTCGAAGCATATCGGGAGACCATGATTTCTGCTTGAATAGCGGCGGTAGAGCTTCACGTTCCGACATGGCGTCTGCAGAAAATTACACGCGCCGCCGCGTTGGAATGAAAAGCCTGATTGAGATTTTATATAAGAGCGTTTAACTATGGAATTTCATTAGTCGGCGGGAGTGGGATATTTATTACTACTGGGCTGGACTGAGTTGGATATTTATTAGATCTTACGAGGATTTGGGTTGGAGAGCGCTTTATTGGGCCCATTTCGGTACGCTTTTATTATGGTCCACGTCATCAGAGGTCAACTTTTTCTAATCATTATTCATAGTGTCGTTGGAAAAGATTTTTGTTTTGAATAATTAACCTTTTTTTTTTTGGGTTAACAGGGATTCTTTATTAACATAAACTAAGTAGCATTACAATGTTCTATCATGGAAGTCCCATTGAGACCGAGTTCATGATTTGTAGAGTTAAAGGAGCTATCAGAAAAAACAGAGGTGCCAATTATAGCACAGATGTTCCCCAAGACTAGCTAATTTATTACATGAGCTCTCTGAAATAGTTCTAGTAAAGGAGGACCCCCTTTGATCTGCTAGAAAGTTGGCAGCCACAAAGTGAGGGACGGTAGCAAGTTTCACTTGAGTGTTGAAACAGTCAAGCTTGGTACTTTCTGTTGCCAAGAGATGGGCTACTGAATATGCTTCGTGAAAACTATGCATGATGTCCTGGATCTCTAGCTGGAGCATTAACCACCTGCAAGATTGAACGATTGAGTTATATGTAGGATGATTATTTTGAATCAGTTGTATTACTTTCACCGAGTATGTTTCCACCTCTAGCGGCTGCAATTTTCTTTCATGGGCAAGTTGCAGTCCTTGCTTTAAAGCAAGAAGTTCGGCGTAAGTATGATTAAGCACATGAGTATGTTCCTGGAAACCAACAATCCAATCTCCGGTGGAATTTCGGATGATACCACCCAAACCACCAATCTTATCATTGCCTTTATAAGCTCCATCTGTATTCAATTTATAAGCACCTTGGCTTGGCTTATGCCATTTAACCTTTATGCTCCTTTTGTTGGTCGGGCTAGAGTGATTGTACGTAAGGAGCTTAAATTCTTGTGCACGGGTAATAACTAGGCTTAGAGAGAGATCTTGTTGGTCATTGTTAAAATTATTATTGTTTCTATTGATCCACAGATTCCAAAGTGCAAACGGAAAAAAATCAAGCCAATCTAACATTAAGAGAGGTATTGGGGGTTGAAACTTTTTTACCGTGTCAATCCAATGGCCCTCCACCAGCGTGATGCTAGTATTATTGACACCAATTTCATTCCAAAACCTGTTAGCTATGGGGCAAGAAAGGAATATATGGGTAATAGTTTCTTCAGCACTTCTACAGATTGGACACGTTCTATCAATGTAGATGCCAATATTATTAAGATAGGTTCTAGTTGGAAGTCTAGTATGGTAACAAAGCCAAAGAAAGAAGATGATTTTTTTGGAGCACGAAGATGCCAAATCCAGTCAAAGTCATTGACAGACCTTTCATGGTTGACAATAAGACTATATGTGAATTTAGTGGTAAAAATACCATTTGCATTGATGGACCAAATTGGACGATCATTGCAAAGTTTATTCTGAGGGATGTTGATGCTAGTAATATAATTTTTTAAATAATCAGGTAATTCGAAGGATATAGCAGAAAGATCCCATGTTGCATCAGACCAAAGATTATGGATATTAAGGCTCTCTTCGCGCGGGGTTAAGGGACCATGAATAATGGCTCGAAGGGGAGGAAGGTTAAGGATCCATCTATGGTTCCAAAAAAATTATATTTTTACCATTGCCAATCTCCCAATTAATAGCTTCCTTGCAGATGGACCAACCATTGAGAATATTTTTCCAAATAAATGAGCTATTTGAAGGATTCTTTCTGGAAGAGTATTGCCTAATGAGAGTGTTATCCCAGAGTGAAGTAAGATTAATAAAAAATCTCCAAGCTAAGCCGGTTAACACTGATTTTTTGAAGAATTTTTACTAGACCTAACCCCCCTTGGCGCTTGGGCTTAGTGATGGTTTTCCAGTTAACAAGATGCAACTTTCTCTTAGTAGTAGTAGTCCCCCAAAGGAAGTTCCGTTGAATCTTGTCAATGTGATTAAAATTTTTAACTGGTAGATGGATATATTGCATAACATGATTAGGTATGCTAGAGAGAGTAGAGGAGATCAATGTCGATCTGCCTGCCTTAGTAAGGCAACTAATTTTCCAGTTGACTAGCTTGGATCTCATCCTGTCAATAACAAATTGAAAGTCTGATGCTTTAGGGTGTCTACGTAAGATAGAAAATCTAAGATATTTGCCAAAGTTGCCACAGCTATTAATGCCAAAGAAATTAGAGATTTCAGTTTTAAGGTTATCGGGGCAGTTTAGGGAGAATATAATTTTTGATTTTGTAGTATTGATTTTCTGCCCTGATATTTTACAGAAAACATTGATGCCTTAGAGCAATATTTTTTATTGGCTCTAGCCATTAGAGTTAAATTATCAGCAAAAAATAAACGTGACAAAGGAGGGCTCCTAGGAGACAACTTAATAGTCCCAATTTGCACAATCAAATGCATGATTAATATATCTAAAAAATATTTTAATGCATAGGATAAAAATGTAACGGGACATAGGATCACCTTGTCTACCCCTAGAAGGCGTAAAGAAAGGAGTTCTAGTCCCATTAACTAGAATGGAAATGTTACTAATGGTAACACAAGACATAATCAATCTAGTAATATTAGGAGGGAAATTAAAGTAGCGAAGGATTCTATAGATGAATGACCATTCCAATATGTCAAAAGCTTTTTCTAGATCGATTTTGAGAATCATGCCATGATTAGCACCTTTTTGTTTATTAAAGTTGGCAATGACCTCTTGAATAATAATAGAGTTATCACTAGCTCTTCTAGTCTTTATGAAACTAGCTTGATAAGGACTGATGAGCTCATCCAAATAGGGCTTTATACGATTAGCAATAATCTTGGTAATGATCTTGTAGATAGTATTACATAGACCTATTGGTCTAAAGTTTTTGAGATCATTTGCATTCGATTTTTTTTGGACAAGGCAGATAAAAGTGTTATTAAGGAATTCAGGAATTTGTTGAGTGTTAAAGATATTTTTGCAATAACTAAGCACCGCGGGACTAGCAATGGACCAATATTTTTGGTAAAAGAAAGGATGAAACTCATCTGGTCCAGGAGCTTTAAAGGGTTTAAAGGAGAAGAGAGCGGAAATAATTTCTTGATTAGCAATCGATCTGTCTAGGTTGTGCAAATTTAATTTGTTAAAGGACCTAATATTAGAGTTGATGCCCTTCCAATCCGAACTAATGTGACTTGTGGTGAAAATATCCCTAAAAACATTTAACGTATGGTCAACTACCTGAGCGGGGTCCTCAATCCAATTTCCCATATTATCTTTGAAGTGCGTAATTCTATTATGCCTATGCCTATTGATGGTGGAGATATGAAAAAATCTAGTATTTTCATCCCCCTTGTTGAGCCAATTAATTCTGGATCGAAGCTTCCAAAAATTCTCTTCTATCCTAAGCACATTATTTTACTCATTAACTAGAGTAGATACAAGCGTTGCAAAAAGGGGCTCGAAGTGTACTTGTCGGAGGATTGAATACATTAAGTCTAGCAAGAAGTCTACGCTTCTTATGAAAGATGTTACCAAAGACTTCGTTGTTCCACCGAGTAACTTCATGCTCAAAATAATTGACTGCTTCAAAGAGATGTTTGTTACTCCAGCATTTGTCCACTATATTGATAAAGTCCGGATGGGAGCACCAAATGGTTTCAAGCCTAAAATATTTGCTAGTGTTGCTCTTATAACTAAGGCTTAGTCTAATAAGGAGAGGGTTGTGATCTGAGTAGGTTCTGGGGAGATGGTTCACTATGGCATTTGGATAAATACTATGCCATTCGTCATTAGTCTAATCTCTCCATAATCAGGCCAGTACTTCTTTTCCTACAATTCGACCAGGCATATTTACATCCCTTAAATCCAAGATCTAATAGCTTACACTTATTAATACAGTTCCAAATCTTGGAGGCTCTATTATTGTTAATAGGGCGTCCTCCCTGTTTGCTCATAAGTTATCACATATCATATGAGTGCAAAACAATACAAATAATCACGGGAAAATAATAGCAAATCGTAATAATCCATTGGACCAAATGAAAGAAACGAAAATAAGTACTCAGAATTAGGGGGAGAAACATTAAAAGCCTTTATTGATAATATTTGTTTGGTCTGCCTCTCCATGAAGAGGTTCAGAGCCTTACAATGGTGTTTTTCTCTTCCCATAAGATGGGTATATTTTTCCCTTCTCTCTCCTGTCTATAGTAGTGAAGAAGCAACCCCCTTTTCTAGGGTCCCCTCTCTTGGTATTTATAGCTGTGGGCTTCGTGAGCTGGCAATAAGTGGCCGTGACCACGTTGAGATCTCGCCTCTATAGTGGCGGATAGGCCAGGGCCTTGTTGACCGAGCCAGAGGCGGGTTGAACGTCGTCAATTCTGAGTGGTCGTGCCACTAATTAATCATGAATTAACTTAAAACGGGATTAGCCTCGTTAATTGTTGTGGGGTCGGATTTTGACCCATACAGTTAGTCCCTCCGCTTATTGAGGTCGTGTTTCGGCCAAGCTCGATGAGCGGACTTCATCGACTGTGATTTGAAAACAACTCGAATAAGGAGGTCGACTTATTGGCGGCGGCGGCCTTAGTCGTTTACACGTTGGAGATGGCTGTAGCCTTTCATATATTGGAGGTGGCCGTAGCCTTTCATATAATGGCGATGGCCGTAGCCTTTCATACATAAGAGATGGCCGTAGCCTTTCATATATTGGAGGTGGCCGTGGAGAATGAGTATGCGCCGGGTACGTATTTGGTAGCGTCCAGAATTTTGAAGGCATACAGCGCATTCTTTCAGCGTTTGCAGGCTGTTGCGATTATTCTGACGGCGGGACGTTGGCGGATGGCTGAGAAGCCGCTTCGCGGAGCTTGTCATAATGACGCTTGCTTCGGCAGNGTTAACTCGTGTCGAATTTTGTAGACCGAAAAGCGCCGCGGCTCGTAGCTGGGATTCGCGGATGGGTGGAGGCC